GCCAGAGAAAGAACTTGCTAATTTACTTTCTTCTATTATCTGAGCTGTGTGTGGACTCAGGAACAGGAATTTGTCTTCTTTCTCATAGGCTGGTGAATCCAGAAAAGAGTTTTCCCACTTTTCTTCCTCTGGGGTTCTGCATGCTTCTAGGACTCTTCCTTGCATGATGAGGGACCCCTACTACATATTGGGAACCAGTTAGACAATTGCACAGTTTCAGGAGTGTGAGATTGTCTTGTAAGCTGAAAAACACTTTTATTTGTTTCTCCTGCTCTGCGAGTAATGCTTGTCAAGTGTAGCTTACTCTCTGAGCCTGTGAATTTAGGTGACTTTGTTCACTAGCACATTCGTGTTTAAAAAAAAATTAAAAAATTAAGTTAGTTTGGGGCGTTCTTTGTTTTTTTTTTATTTGTTTTTTCAACCCAGAAATAACATGTGTCTGTAGAAACAGTCTTCTCAACTCAAAAGCAGTGTTTTGCAGCCATGTGCTTCACGCAGCTGTAGCTAACTCAGGTGTGGTAGAGGCGAGCCAGGCCAAGAGGGAACACAAGTAGTGCAAGTGAGCAAAGCCCTGTGTGTGCACAGGTATTCCTGCTTCTGGGAATCCAGGCATGGCTGGCTCCTAGAGGAACTGAAATGCCATGCAACTAGCGCAGAGTTCACACTTTGTATTTTTCTCCTGAAAGTGATATTTCATGAGGCAAGCAGTTGCAGTTCTGAAATGAGGAGAGAGCTGACATACATTTAACCAAACGGTATCCGGCACCCATACAAGAGTCACAAAACACAGATAATATCTCACTTAACAAGCAGTATTTTTCCTGCTTTTTTTTCTCTCTGTTCTAGGCCCTAACAGTTAAGGAAGGTGAAAAAACAGTACAAATGTTTCCACATCTAACACAAAAAGATCCCCCTAGCACCAACCAGGCTGTGCAAACACAGGAAGAAAAGTTTTGCATTTTATGTTCTTGCTGCGTCCTGGGGAAATGTGTGTATCCTGGGGTGGTATCTCTCACCTGAGAGCCTGGCTCCCATCCCAGAGCAACTCTTTTCTCATCACTGGAGGTTTGAGGTTCCACCAGTGAAAAGGGGATGTGAATTGGGTTGTGACTCTCATCCAGAGAAACATATATGTTGCATTTCTTGCATAACTTCTCCAGTGATTATTGAGTTTCCATAGGAAACAACCTTCAGGTTTTAAATACACCCAACATTAGTTTGTGAAAGGACAGAGAATGAGATTTTTATAAGAAAGCCTGCCCTGGGTTTCTTTTTAACAGTCATAGCTCCAGCAGCACCATCCTGGCATGAACTGAACTGCTCTCAGAATTGAATGGAGACAAACAGGCTTTGGTAGGAATAGAGGATGCATGAAACCTTACTGGGTTGGGCACTTTGTTCCCTTCCTCTCTTTCCTCATGTCTTTAAGTATATTGCTAGGGCAGAGATGAGGAAACTCAAGTAGAGAGAAGTTGAGGTAAGACTTGAGTCTTGCCAAGGCACCATTGACAGGTTAGGCACTTCTCTGACAATTTTCTTGCAGAAATGGCAGAAATCTGAGACCACCTTTCAGAGCTTCAGGATGAACTGGTGGAATGTACAATACAGCCTGCAGTTGAAGTTGTCTCCAGTTATGACTTAACCAAGGGCACCATGAATCAGTGGCAGAGACAGAAACAGAACTTTGATTCTACAGCTTCCTTGTCTTTTTTATTTGATATGTCAGATGATTCTTTATAATTTCTTTTTTTTTAAAAAAGAGACAACCCACCCCAACATTAGACTGCACTGGTTTTGCTTCACTTATTTTTGAGCAAAAATATAAAATGGGAATGGAATCAATCTATGATGCTTTGCTCCGTTATGTGACATTTAATAATTTACCCCAGTGCTTGCCACTAGGTGGGGATTTTTTAGCTCCATCCCCTTTACCAGTTACTGTTCTGGACATGCCTTTTAGAAATTAAATGGGAAACTGTTCCCTCCTTTCCCCCACCTCCTTTCCATTTCTAAATTCATTGGCAAAAGGATGTTAGTGAGACTGCATATCTGTAAGATTACCATTCAGTAGTGAACTTATCATAGGATAATAATTTAGATGTAGTTAAGGCATGAAATACAAATATCATGCTCTAGAATCCAAGACACAGGGATCAACAAACATATCTATTTTAAATGCACTATTTTTACCTTGCCTTTTTGCACAGGGATTTCTCGACCATGTGTAACAGGAAGAAATCAAATTATGTGAAATGTGTCATTAAAACCAAGTTTATCAAGATTTCTTAACTGCAGTCTCCTGCAAAGTGGGAAGCATACCAGATCTCCAACTTCTGCCCCACCAATTCCATGACACTCATCTGATTCATGCCACCTGGGCAAACAGCTATTAGAAGACTGGTATCTGTTTAGTGAACCAAGCAGCTCACTATAAACTGTAAAAGTACTGATCTACTAACAGGTTTCTATTCCAAAAGCCTGCTTTGACTTATCTTCAAAGCATCCTACTTAGCCTGCTTGTTGTAGGATGCCTAATTATGCACTAAGCAAGTTTTGATTTTGTCTGATATCTGTTATCTCATAGGTCTGATACTATGTCTTTATATGGGTTTGTAGCGAAAAAGCCTTCACATATTTAGGGTAGGTTTTCTTCTGAATCTAGACTAAGTCAAAACATCAACTTCCATTGTAGTAACTGGAAGCACAATTTGAATGTTGGAAGGTGCAGGTGGCTCTTGATTACTATTACTTTTTAACAAATTTCCTTAACCTCTATGTAGTGTCAAGAGAGTTGTTTCTGACCAGACAGCCTCTTGCCCTCTGATTAAACTTCTAGGTTTTTTGTTTTGTTTTGTTTTGTTGGGGGCGGGGGAAGTGTAGAAAAAGTTGAAATACTTCAGCTGTTTCTCCTTACCCATGCATTCTATCGGTAAGAGATACCTCAACTTGGCAGGATGGAACTTGCATTGGAAAGTTGCCAGAAGTTCTTTAAGTTCTTTACATCCCATAAAAATAGTGCAGAAAAATAAATTAATAGCTAAATAAGGAGCTAAACAGTGAATGGCAAAAACTGTTTCAATGAACTTACTTCCCGCTTTTACTTTCCTCTGCTGTAAAAATTCATAGTCCTTCTTTACCATTTACGCAATCCACTTTTACTCTTGCAGTCGTCTCCAGTGGGTGTGATTTCGCCCATTAAAGAATACCCCGCAGAAGCTGGAGATGGGGAAGGCCTTATGAAAGCATCTATTGGGTCCCTCTGGCAGTGCAGGACTGTTCCATCATTAACCTTGAGTCCTCTGGCTGCAGATTTAGGTGGCTCACCTGATGCCGCTCCTACCACTCCTACTCAGAGATTATTCCACAGTCTGATGGATCGTCAAGAAATGCGGTCACCCACTCATTTCATTCATTTAAACCTGGATTTGTGCAAACAACCCAAACCAGCTAATTTGGGAGATGACCTAAACCTACCTGTCATTTCCCCTGCATCATGATCAGTATACATCGAAAAGCATGATGCTGTCCTCCATGCAGGAGGTTGCAAGGAAACTGTTTTCTTGTTTCGGGTCAAATCCATAACTGGCATCACCAGACTGTTGTCACTTAAGTAAGCTATATTGTTTTAATTTTTCCTTTTCTGAGAAGTGATTTCAAAATCAGTTAATGCTTGTGTGTTAATGAGGGAATTGCCATTAGAAAAAAATACTAATTTGCTAGGCCTTTGTGCTATGAAATTACTGCCCTTGCTGGTGTGCTGATTGCCACGGGATGTCTAGTAGATTGCATCAGTGCAAATTGGTAACATCTCCACTTTGGAGACAAAGGTCTTATGTGAACATTACTGAGTTCAAATCCTGCTATGGGCCTATTCCATTCTTTGCTATTAATTCAAAGCCCAGCCTTTTAGTAGTTGTCGATGAAACTAATCACTTGGATAATTCTTTTGGCAGTTGTTTCAAAGGCATGCTTTTGTTACAGGTGTGCTAAGTCATGTTAAAAAAAGCTTTGCAAGGCAGGGATAGTACTGTGGCAGGACATGTATGAAGTGCAACACTTAGCAAGAGAGTTATTTTCCTTATTGTATTGCATTCAGCATTAAACCAGTTCCAAAATACTAACACCATGCTAAAGCACCAGATTTTTTTTCTTTCACAAAACTTTGTATACACAAGATACTGGGGTTTGTTTCCTCTACAAATGAGAGACCATAAAACTCTTGAAGTCATGTTTTGAGTAACCTCTGCTAGTTTTACGTATTTTAGGAAGTCCCAGGAGCCACAGGCACTTAATTACTTGTAGGCACAAGGACCAGCCTAAGCTTGATCTGTGGGTATTAGTGAAGCTTGCTGAAGATGTGGCTGAATTTCTAGTTGGAGATAAAATTCTATTTTTGGGTAGTTCTGTTGAAGCCCCAGAATACTTGTGAGTTCAGCTTCACTATGTCATTGAACCAAATCAGGATATGCTCTCAAGGAGCTTTTGTGGAAGAAGGGAGAGTTTTTGCAAAAGGTGATCATTTGATAGCCTTTGTAATGTCAGTCAGTGTTAGCTAAACTGAATCTTCTGAGCATAGCAGCTGAAAAATACCTGTTTGTGTTACAAATATCGAAAAGGGTAAGACTGATAACTGTGTATCCAGACTTCAGTAAATTTGGAAGAGACATTGGCCATGCATTCTTTTCACAAATATAATTCCCCTCTATTCAAATGAAGCTTTCTCTGCGGGACAGCAGGTTTTGGTCTTATGAATGCCATGCTTTTAGCAGAATTTAGGGGTTTTTTTGTTAAGTTTTATTTGTTTTCTAGTTCCTCTTATGGTATTATTTGAGAATGAGGCTACTCTGATGACTCACTGACGCTACTTTCTTCACTACTAGGAAAGGAAAGTCCTCCTATTAGTGATGTCCCAGATGATGCAGATGAGCCTATGCCTGTACCAGAGGACCTTTCAACTAGTACTGGAGGACAGCAGAGTGCTAAGAATGAGAGAGTCTTGGGTAAGACAACCAGTCCACTCTGATAAGAAATATTAGTACATAATATAATATGCCGATAATGTTAAGCACTGTATAAGAAGCTGGTATACAAGCAGGTCCTGTGCCTTTTTGTCTTTTTCAGCACAGGATTACTCAGGTGCTTGGTGTTTTTTTGTACAACCTTCTCTTTGGAAAAGGCATTTTGAAGGACAGCAAGCCTTTTCATCCACAGAAAAGTTATAAAGATCTTACTATTTATCTTATTTCAAAAGCCTAACTGATTGCATTAAATTCTCTCCAGGAAAGATGGTTTTCATTCTTCATAGCAAATGGTATTAAATGTGTGGTTCCAGATCAAAATTATTGGAACTTAGATTTCATAAAAATTTAGTAAACTCTTGGGTATTTTTATTATTATTTTTATTGCTAATTTGAATGCTATCTTGAATGTTACCTGCTATTCAGATTTCTACAGAAATGCCTTATTAGATCACGGGTAGTATTCATATGTTTCAGATTCCAATATCTGATCTTCATTTACCCTTGATTTTTTTAACTGGGAGAACTTTAGAAAACACTTGAATTTTGTTCTTCTAGGTAAAAGTCCACAATTGATAAAGTCTGTTGGATTAAAATAGATTATTGTCCAGAGATGATTTTGCAAAATGCTGTTTCTTCTTAGAGATCCTAGACTCCACACCAAGGACTAGCAATGCTGCTGATTGCTGCATGCATCAACTCACATGTAGTCTACTAAAAAAGACTAGATTATATTACTTGAATGCAATGATTGTTTACTGCTAGGGAGCAAAAAAAAAAAGAAAAAAAAAAAGGGAATGCTGTGATCAGTGCCCTATATGATAAAATTATTTACAAATTGATTATTTACAAATAAAAGTATTGGTCATCATTTTTACATTCCTGTTGGAAGAATGAGGGTCAGGGTGGAAGACTGTTTACAGAAAGATTGCAAGTGCCTTTAAATATTTAATGTCTAAGGAAGTCCAATAAAGGACAGTAGGTGGAAAGGGAGGCACAGAGGGCAAAATAACCAAGTCAAAGTAATATAGCAGGATGGTGGCAACATTAGAAATAGATCCTTCTCCGAAAGTCCAGCACTAGCTAGTAGAGAATGCAACATCTTATGCATCTTCACTTTATTTACCACTTGATCCCCTCTTACCAAAAATGTGAGCATAAATTTCTGTTCCTACATGCATACTGACATACGTTACAATCAAATTAATTTTTAAAAATGCTTTTTAATAATCTGATCACCTAACTAGCGCTTTGTTTCTCAGTCCAAAGTTCTTTGGACAAAATCTTGCCCTTACTGCTTGTGTCTCAATTCAGTAAAATGAGTTAAGCCTCCTTTCTCCCACAGTAACTAAGCCATACAAAATATTTAAGCCTTGATTAAAAAAAAATAATTTAAAAATCCCTTGTTCAAACCCAAACAAACCAGATTTTTTATTGCATTGAATTCACTTCACCTTGTAAATATCATACGGAACCAGCAAATTTGAAATTTATATTTGCTGATGATGTAACGGTTCTCCCAATAGTTTAATTATATATCAATATAAACACATATTAGAAGTGACTGTAATAAAAGAAGGAGAGAATGTTATTTTTGATATCCTAAATATGATAAGTTCCATTTGTTTTTCTCATTAGTTTTACTTTGTGCACTCAGCAATAAATTAGATTTTCCATGTCCTGACTTCAACATTTTTTCTACAGCCACTTTCTCTACCCATAGTTCTTTGGTTTTGAAGGGTCATCTCTTGCAGCGAGTCATTTACCATATTCAACAGAAACAAAGACAATTCACAGTTTTATGGCTGATCTTAACTGTGGGTGTCAAGTTCAGCGCTTGCAATGTTTGTCTTTTCTGTAAAGCTGTGTACACTTTTACCTCTTCTGCTGTTCCTTTTTCTAGCCCTACCTAAACTAACTTTTTGAAAAGAGTATACTGAAAAAAAGAATTCTTATCTTTTATAAAAAGGGTCTGAACACATGCCCTAAACATATCAGGAGCCGTATGATTGTTATGCATATTCTAGATCATCGTCAAAAGAAAATTTGTTAGGGATAAACCAGTGCCTTAGGAGTGGTGTTTGGCCCACATAATGCCATAGATGTGTTTGGAATGATGGGGACTGTCTTTCAGTGTAGGCAGTGGCATGTCAGTGTGGACAGACTTGGTGTTCACTGCAACACTGTCACCTCTAAGTCTTAACGTCCGTTTCTCACTGATATTTATCACCAAACCTAGGTAGAAAAGGATGATCTGAAGAAGTAGTTTGAAGAATGATAGGTAGGCAGGATAGTATTGTAAAGACCCACTGGTTTTATTTATTTATTTATTTATTTATTTATTAATAGCTGAGTGACAGACTGTGGCCTATGATTACTGACAGTTGATGCACATGAACAGATACAACCAGGCAACAATTTTTCTCTATATGACTTTTCTAATGTCCCATCTGCTTCCTGCATCAAAAGGGAATCCTCTGTGCACTTTGCTGTATTTCAACATATGATTTACAGTGCATTCCACTTGATCTGTAATGCCCTGAGAGATCAGCTGTCCATACTGAGGCATGCACTGAGGAAGGGTAATTTGAGTCAGACATTTATGGAAGAGGTCCACTAGGGTCTGGAGGACTTTTTTGTACATGTAGTGTTACAGAGGTAACAGTGGAAATTGCAGGTTTATTAAATGAAAAGAATAAGTATTTACCTCATCTTGCTAAAATTAGGTGAGAAATCTGTTGTTGACTTTAATCAGCCTGCGAGAGAGAAATGTTCAGATGACTGTTTGATTACTCAGATTTGTAGTAACACTTCATGAAACCTATAACCCTGGAGTCAAAAGTTTAATTACCTTTTTCATCAATTTAGCATTTTAAAGGTCAAAGATTAGGGAAAACAAGCTATTTTTAGAAAAGAAAGATAGGGTCTAGCTCCTCTGCATGTTTTAAAAGATCTTTCTTGTTTCTTCCAGCCCTAGACTGATACTTGAATGTAATGCTATAAACCTGTTAGAGAGAACCATTTGAAATGTTTCTCCTGCTTGAAGAGTGAAGGTGTAGCAGACTTCAGAAGTTAAAATCCTCAATGCACTTGCCAGATTTTATTGGGCGCTGTAAGTTTTTGAGTGTCTTACTTAAAGTGACTAGAGAGGGCGCAAATTTCGGAAGGAAGGTGTTCAGAGGTTAATGAAAAGTGTGCTTTGATTTGTGTCCCCAGACAGAGGCATCCAAGACACGGGTTGCTTCTGACCAATGCAAAAATGATAAGCAGGTGTGAAAAGGTCCTTTGGGAAAGTAAAGTCATCAACAGTTTCTAGCAATAACCCTAAGCAGCACAGCAAAGCAGAAACATATTAAAATAACTGTTCTGGTCACTGCTACATCTCTTCATTTCCTTGATGAGATTGCTGTGTTTTTAATGTTGTAACTCCCAGAATGCCACTATGTGTTGAGCAGCTTCCTCCTCCAAGCTTCATTTCTTCTGCTCTGCCCACTAGATCTTCTTCCTTCCTTGTCCTCTTCTCCACCCTAATATTCCTTCTCAGACTGATGAGGCATCTATCATTTTTTTATTATTTTATTTCTTTTACTCTACTTATCTGCTCTACATTTAGTTTTTCTGGAAAACACAGGGAACATTTTCAGACAAGCAAAGAGCTAATTTTTTACAGCTCTTTAAGGCACTAGGCTCTGTTCTACCACCTCTCCTACACAAACTTTTGAGCCTTTGATCTAAGTTATTTAGAAATGCACATCCCACTGAAATTCCATTCCATTAAAATTAGTGCTTTGCATCCTATTTTGGATGGGCAGCCCTATTTCCCATTCTAACCTGTAACATAAGATTTGAACTGATTCTTACTGCCTCCGTTCAAGTTTCAGGTTAAATGTTGCGTCCACCTTTTGTGGAAAATCAGTACTGAACATCCTCTGTGTGGTAGAGGGTTACAATTTCGCTCTGTTTCTGATCTGGGACTGTATCCTAATTCAAGCTATGCGTGGGAAGCTAATGATTCAGTGAGCTGTAGGTTGGACCCTACTTCATGCAGAAAAAGCCATTTGCTGCAGTGGTAGTATTTGCCTAGAAAGGTAAGCAGTACCTGGTTTTATCCATAAGTACCCATACTGTAGCTGGCCATCAATGGGTGAAAAACAAGAAGTCATCTCACAGTGTCTTGGAAAGAGGCTGTGGGCTCAGCATTTCTGCACAGGCAGCTGTCTGAAGCTGAAGATGGCCATTTAGACTTCCAACACAGAAATCAAGGGTTTCTCACTGAAAAAAAGTGATCACCATCATAGTCACAGATTACAGTCTGGATCTGGAATGTATAAGGCATACACATATTCCTTCTGAGAGAAAGAGGTGGGGACAACGCATCTCCAAAATTGGATTGAAACTGTTGGACAATTGACAGAAGATGCCCGAAGTAACAAGTCAAAGTGATCCTAGACATAAACAGAAGACAGATGAGATTTATATGGAAACTCCCTATTTGTTTAAAAGGACACCAATATGGGAAGAGTCATTAAAAGGGCTTTCTGACATTTTTCTCCTTCAGTGGGAAATATCAAGTGACTGATGTTACCTTCCTCCCACAACCCAGTCACTGAAGCAGAAGCCTGTATAGCTGCAGAGTCTCAGTGCCTGGCAACACTGGGAGCCTGGCATTGCCTTCACATCCTGGGGTCTTCCCACCCAGCCATGGGCACTCAGAGGTGGTAACATGCATGAGTAGCAAGTTACGGGTGCAGAGAAGTGCTCTGAGCTGCTCAGTGCTTTATTTCCTTAAAAGGAGCTCAACCATTTAAGAGCACGGACAGAAGCATTGCTGAGGGGCCACTAGGCCAACCACAACAGCTTGCCATTACATCAGTCTGCTGCAACTCACACATAGCTGGGTGGAGGCAGAGTAAAAGTGTGGAAAGGCTGCAGACGGAGGGGAGAAAGGAGAAAAGCCAAAAGGGGAAGTGCCCCACCCCAGC